GATGGCTCAGTAGGATAAGCGCTTGACTGGCAAACACAAGGATCTGAGTTCAATCCCAGGTTCGGGGGGTGGGTGGGAGATTGTTTGTAAAGCTGAGTTCATCTTTTTTTTTTTTTTTTTTGCAGAACCGGGGATTGTCAGGCCCTTGTGCATAGTACCAGGCAAGCACTTATTCTATTGAACCATCTCCCCAGCCCCTCATCTCACTTTGAATTTAAATTGTTAAATCTGCAGCCTGCATACCACCTCTTAAAGTAACCAAGTACCCTGGCAGCATCTAAACTTCGCAGGTTTGGGGACCATCAGCCCACCCACCACAGCTCTCTGCAAAGTACCCCACCTGTACCCAGGACACCCAACACAAGCCCATTCTGTGGTTCTCAACTGAGCCCAAGGCCCTGATGAAATCTCAGCACATGAGTGGGTTGGGAGGGCTGCTGGTGCTCTGTGCTGACTCTAGCACCTGTACTCAGCATCTAGTGTAAGTGCACACACATGGATACAGAGGCACCTAAAGCACAGGAAGAGAAAACACCTGTCACAGCCAGCACTGAGGGAAGGGTGCCAACATGGGAGCAGCTCATGTTTCTTTAAAGTATAATGAACTATGGGGCTGGGGAGATGGCTCAGTATAATAAGCGCTTCCCTGGCAAGTACAAGGGCCAGAGTTCAATCCCCGGCTCCACAAAAAAAAAAAAAAAAGTATAATGAACTCACAGGCATGGGGGCACAACTCCTGTAAACCTAGGGCTCAGGAGGCTGAGGCAGGAGGATTACTGTGACTTCAAGGCCAGCTTCACTACAATGAGTTTAGACCAGCCTGAACTATACAGTGAGACCAAAGCAATGAACTAGACACCAGCAAGAACACAAGACCCTTGTGGGGACAGGTGCTGCTCATCCCTTCCTGCTGTCCACAGCACATCTTCACCACTCCCAATGGGACTCTGGGAATCATGGACTCAGAAAAGGAGCTGCAACTCCAATGGCATTTTAGAAAATGTATCAGATGGGAAAATCACCAAGGCTCACATAGTACAAAAGGGTCACAGGACCCAAGGACATTTTCAAGCCAAACCTTAAAGTGTGTTGCACTTTTGAAGAGCTAATCACATAATCAACATTGCGGTTTATCCAAAAATGCTATACTTGGTGTGATGGCCCACAACTGAATGATTGGCCCCTTCTGGTAGAAATCCTGTTGTGAAGCCAGGCCTGACAACAGGCCCAGAGCTCCTGACAGTATTCATCCCATCTGCTGAGCAGCAAATGCTCTTACACTGAAACTTTGTACTTGGGACACTGGTCATTTGCCTTCACAGAGCTGAAGGTAAAAGGAGCCAGAAACCTGCAGGATGCTCAAAACTACCCATATTACTCCACACGGCTCACCACCCTCCACTGAGATCACACAGGGTGCGTGTGGTCAAGTGCACACACAGCACATGTAAGAGACAACCCCAGTCAAGGCATCGTGCTTTTCACAACTTTATTTCAACATAACTATGCTTACAGAAATATACTCATATTGGTTAAAAGAATGCAATTTAACTTATCCTATACAATTTCAACCAAAAAGCTGGTACATGGTTTAAAGATTTTAAAAAGGATTTGCAATCTGGTTTATTTTTATCTGTTATAAATGTATAAAAGATCCTCCATCAAATGCTGCTAAAGAAGGTAGCAAAAACCTTGAGAAATATACCTTTTGTTTGCCTCAGAAAAGTAACAAGTATTGCACTGTAAATTTTATAAAATTGGTGCAACGAAACATTGTTGTAATGTTACAATGCCAGTTCACAAAGTTCAGTAACTACTACTGGATATGGAGGGGGTGGGAGGGAGGAGCCTATGTACACACATGGAACTGTAAAAGCTATGTTTCATTAATATTGCATGTAGATTATAAATCTACACAAACCAAGATTCAGATAATTTCTTAAATCTGAATTAACACTATCAAGCTCACTTCATCTGCTGAGGCCAGTAAGAGATCTCGGCACATTTAGCTTTTTAAGTTTTTCTGATCAATGCAAAGAAAATAAAGTTCCTTTGCCAGCTTTTCAGTCCAGAAGTGACAGTATACTACAGACAAGGTCTTCCTTCTGTGTCAACACTCACGGGTGACACGTGATGAGGTCAGCTTGGGTTTTAATTTGTATCAGCACTCATGTGTGAACAGCCCCCAAAGTCAATGAGCACATGACTTTAGAAGTGACTCAAATTAAAATGGCCCTTCTTGGAAGACTAGAGCAAAGCATCAGCCACAGCTACAAGAAGCCGTATCAAAAGAATGAAGCCCCTTATGAATGAAGTCTCAACAACAAAAAAAGGTAGCCCCCAAATAAGCAGCTCTGAAAAAGAGGAAAAAATATAACTTAAAATATCTTGAAAACCAATGTGAATATAGGTTCCAAAAAATAACATACATTTTCATAAAACTACCTAGGATTAGGCTTATAATATATTCTCTAGTATTTCAAGTTTATCACTAGTTACTAAACATATCAATTTACAAATAGCATGTTCTTTTTTGTTTTCATCAAAAGTGAAATTCTAGCTTCAATTCTACTGGAGGACTAGAAAATAAAAAATATTCAAACAGTTCCATGCAAACATATTTTTGCAAATGGAAGAACTCCCAAATGGACCAGAAGTTCTGATTACTAATATACTTTTCATTGAAACAATTTTTAGTAAGTAAAAATACATGGCATTAAGGTTCAGGACCTAATATAGGCCTGCCAATCAAGTCCTTGTTTTCAGGAAGAGAGCCTCACGTTCCAATCAGTTTCCCTTAACAATGTTTTTATAGATCAACTTAACTTGGATTTTAATTTCCTTCAGTCTTTAGCATTCTAGTCTTAAAGACTAGCATAGGAATTTATTCAATTCACCGGAAAGCAAATTTCCTTCCTTTGCACTTATGAAAGACTCCAAAGAACTCTTCCCACGTGGACTCCCACTGTCCAATCTGTGCTTATGGTGAACTTTTTTCAATGTAAGTAAAGGTAAGTTAGGTAAAATGTGCTCATGAACATTAAAACTAGTCATTAGGCAGAATTAACTAGCTTTATAACTTAAGTTTTAAAACATAAATATTTGCAGCTTGATCTCCTGCTGACAATGATTGTCGGAGCCTAGAATTCAACATGTACAAATTCCCACTCACACACACAGAACACACACCACCACCACCACCATACATCTTAACTTATTCCTCGTGTCTTGAAAAAATCTGCTTTTTTAAAATCTTTGGCCTCCCGGTCAATTTCATGTTCTAATCAACACATTTAACTGAAAATCTACTCTCAGATTTTTGACATCTGATGACCACACCTGTCTCACTTTCATGATGTACTGTCATAATCTGAAACCCACCTCAGAGAGATCCCCAGGTAAAGTAACTCAAACCAAAGGGTTACTTTCAGAACATGGAACACGGGAGGTCAGAATTCATGATACCCTCATTGGGATCAGATTTAATCTTACTGCAGTGAACTCCTAACAGTACAAAAAAATCCTATGTTGGATTCTTTCACACACTTTGGCAACTGGCCAAAGAACCTCCCAGAGTTCTGGAGCACACACCCCTTTCATACACAGCACCCCATAGGGATACCACAACCAGCTGCAGTTCACTTGAGGTCTCACCTGTAGCAAGAGGCTGTCACAGGGGCAGCCAGCAGGACACCCACTAGCGTGGAGATCCCTGAGCAAGTAGGACTTCAATCTGGACTGTATTTAAATTCAAAGCCGTATTCACTGTATTCAGAGGAAGTTTGCAGCTGGCTTGCCAGAATTCATACCACCTCTCATTATAGATGCATGTGGTGTTTATAGCTATGGCTTTGGATTCTCACAAATGATACTCTGTAAAACTTGAATAATTAGGTCTCCTGGCTTCAGGTTTGAAATCCCCAAATATCACATAGCTTTTCATTTAATTGAATAGCCACATGGACGCTAACCACCCATGAGAAAAGGTTCCCTAAAGATACAATGTAACACTACAATTAGGAAATAGCTATGCCAGAAGCCAAAAAAAAAAAAAAAAAAAAAAAAAGACTGGAATATGAAATAAAAATTTGTTCTCTATGGAACCTAGTGGTTTATTAATTACAAAAATCATAACAGAGCTGTGAGTTTTACTATATTCATTCAAAATAAATAATGTATACAATACAGATTCTGGCATAGGGGAGTAAAGATCAAAATCAATGGACTGAACCTGCATGTTTCATCTGCTCAAACTTGCACACACTCTTCCTGCTAAAAAGATAACTGCAGCAAAGGAAAAAAAAACAAAAAACAAAAAACCTGCTGCTTTGCAAACAAGCCTAAGAGCATCCCCCGTCCTAGAGGCCAAAATGAACATGCATGTATAAAGGGTTACTGGTCAGCATAATTGCTACTTCTAAAAAATATTTTACTGCATAGGTTAAAGAAAAACAAAAAACAATGTGCAACATCTTAAGCCATTAAAGCACCAAAATAAAAAACACACCAAAATCACTGTTTTATGACGATTAACACACAAACATGAAATATTGATCAAAAATCAGGAAGTAAATACATGGACTGATACAATGTCCATCGTTGGAAGAATTTTTCTTCAGTTTAAATGTCTTTTCTTATCTCTAAAGAAATCTTAAAGTGCTAACTTTATATAAAGCAGGCAAATTCAAGTAATTTGCTCTTAAGCCAAATTTTATAGAAACAACTAATGATAAACTAAAATGAAACAGAGGACAGACATGGAGAGAAAAACAGACAAGTTGCAGCCGGACAGAGAAACAATGCTATTGAGAACACATCTGCTAACTGATTCTGGTCTGCTGGTTTTAGTACACTAACCCCCTCGGATTTTTTGGATTTACTAAAATTTGTACATCAACAAGCACACAAGAAAGTCCTAAAAGAATTCCACTTTAAAAGATCAAAATTGGACTACTAATTAAAGCAATTTTAAAAAAGTTGTCTACTTCTACAAAGGAATATAAAATGTAATAGCTCTTACAGTAAAACTAGAAACTGTAACCTTGTCCAAAGTTTAATTACTCCTGCCCTTGAGTTGCTTTTTCAAGGAAGTACACATTAACTAAATGGCGATTGAGGTGTTTGCTGTAATCTTTTTCCTTTCTAAAAGAACGATCACAGAAGATACAAACAAAATCTCCCTCAGCCACCTTGGCTGCCAGGATTTCCTTTGTATTTTTTGTAGCAGTTTCTTGGGGAACCTGCCTAGCCCCATGCAATCCAGAATCATCACTCCCCTCTGACATGTTGTCGCTTAGGTCACTTCCATCATGACTGTGGATGCCTTCGTCTTCATCAATTTCCTGAGACTCATTTAATGTCGCGCTCACAGGAGCTGGGGCCGGAGCAGTTTTGGACTCTGTCTCTTGTTCTTCCAAGGGTGGAGAGAAAAGCGACAGTGAAGCTGTTTCTTCAACTGCAGCCTCTTGGGCTGGCAGATTCTCTGCTGTGCTCTCATCTGTGACTACTTCCATCTCGCAAGGCTCATCTGAGGGAGTCTGATGTTCATAAACCTCATCTGAGGTCTGGCCTTCTTGTGTGCTTGGCCTCGAAACAGAAGCTGAGACACTGGCAGCCTCCTTGGGAGCAGCCCTACCCTCCACCTCTACTCCCTCTTTCTGCAGGGAGCCTTCTGTATCTCCAGGGCCTGCAGGGAGTGAGCTTTGGTCTTCTGACCCCTCCTCCTCTGGTAATGGTGACGCTGGTGACCCTGATGTTGAGAGGTCCTGCACATCTGTGCTCTCCTTCAGAAGCTGACTGTCTTTAACAGGCACTAAGCCAACTTCAATAAGGACTTGCTCCTTGCAGGCCATCTCACTCTGCACATTGGACCTCTCCCTTTTACTTTCTTTCCGTGGAGACTTTTTTGGGCTTGGCTCCATGTGAAGGGCAGGTTGTGCTGGAGGCGGCAGCTCCACCTCTGCAGAGCCCTTTTGTGCAGGCTCTGGGGAAGGTGGAGGCTCCTGAACCCCCTCCTTAGGTGCTGGCTCCAAGGGCAGGGACCCCTCCTCAATGCCTTCCATGGGAGTAGGTACCTCCCCAGCCATATGTGGCTCGACCTGTGCCTGCCCAGCCTCCCCAAGAGGAGCCGGCTCCCCATCAGCGGGCGGCAGCTCCCCGTCAGCGGGCGGCAGCTCCCCGTCAGCGGGCGGCAGCTCCC